ATCCCCTGACGATGGCGTTTATCTTGGGAGACACCTCTTCTGCTGAACCTCCTGTTACATTCATTTACTGCTGTGTTCTGATCCATGCACCCTCTGTCCATTCATTCCCTCACTGTCCCATCACCATGCGTCCAGCAGTCGCTCAGCCACTGAGAATCTTCTATGCAACCTTCAGAATGGAAAGCAAGACCCAGTGCAGGGTCAACTCGTGGAGGGGGCGTCTCCTGATGGACCAGATGGGACAGGCATCGGCATCCCACAGCCCACGGAGCAAGTGAGAGCCACACACCTGCGGCCCGCCCCATCACACACTGCAGCACACACTCATTTTGTGTTTTGTTTGAAGGCAGAGTTACATAGAGAGAGAGAGAGAGAGAGAGAGATCTTCCATCTGCTGGTTTGCTCCCCAAATGCCCTCAGCAGCCATGGCTGGGCCAAGTCCACACCAGGAACCAGGGACACAAGCACTGGAGCATCGCTGCTGCCTCCAAGGGTGCAAGTTAGCAGGAAGCTGGATGAGAAGGGGAGGAGCCAGCACTTGAACCATGCTCTCCACATGTGGGGGCAGCGTCTTAACCATTGCCAAATGCCTGCCCCCTAAGCCACCATCCCAAATGGGCACCGGTTTGAGTCCTGGCTGCTCCCACTTCCAATCCAGCTCTCTGCTGTGGACTGGGAAACCAGTGGAAGATGGCCCAAGTGCTGGGGCCCCTGCATCCCTGTGGGAGACCCTGAAGAAGCTCCTGGCTCCTGGCTTCGGACTGGCTCAGCTCTGGCCATTGCAGCCATTTGGGGAGTGAGCCAGTGGATGGAAGATCTCTCTTTTTGTAACTCTCTCAGATAAACAAATCTTAAGAAAATGTGTTTATCCATCGATTCAACAACCCAACTGAGCCACCAATTCCATAGGTAGGGACCTCGTCATGTTTGCAGAAAGATGGAACGAGGAGGCACATTCATTCTGGTGCAAAATTTGTGGAAAAATCACATGCAGCATTTTCCATGATACTCGCTTTCCTGAACTCCTGCAAATTCCCTATATGCGTGGCATGTTCTTGGATTCTCTGCCAGATTCTCCCTTGGCCCAGGCATCCAGGAAATTCCCTGCCATGGCCTCTTGCATTGGTCTCTGCTGTTCAGAAGCCACCCTAGGGTTCATCTGCTTTTGTGATCCAAAGGCAGCACATGTGGGAGGTGGGCGCTGTGGCGTACTGGGCTAAGCCCACAGCCATGCTTCACCCCCCAAGTGCCCACAGCAGCTTGGGCTGGGCCAGGCTGAAGCCAGGAGTCTGGAGCTTCTTCAGGGTCTCCCACAGGGATGCAGGGGCCCCAGCACTTGGGCCATCATTGCTGCCTCCCCAGATGTGTCAGCAGGGAACTGGACGGGGAACAGAGCAGCTGGGACTCGAACCAGGTGCCCTGACCTGGGAGGCCAGCGTCACATCCGCTGAGCCACAATGCCAGCCCCAGGCACCCTGACTTACTCCAAGAAAGGTTCCTTACTGGAGCACCTACGTTTTATTTTCCATGCGGTCCCTAAGTGAACAGCCCACGGGTAACAAGGCCGCTGGCTGACCAAAATATGCAACAGAACGGATTTTCAGAATGGAACATGGGGTGCCCTCTTGAAGTTTGTGGAAAATGAAATAAAAAGTCTATTTCAGTGCAGAACAATCTAGAACCCCACACATAGTTTCTTCATAACATGCATTCTTTGACGTCCCCACAGATGCATGGATTTCCAAGTGTTTTGCAGCAAAATAAAGTCATCTTTTTATTCCCTTTTTCCATGAGTGTGTGTGCAGGGCAGACATGACTAATCAATGCACATAACTGAACGCAGGACAGACATGACTAATCAACACACACAACACTGAATGCTACACTCCTTGACACCTACTTAACGGAGATTAAACAGATGGACTCAGGAGTAGCAAAAAGACTAGCTCATCTGAATACAGCGAGCAGCGTGTTTTGGCTAGGAATAAAAAATGCAAATGAAAACACGCCTGAAGGGTGTCACGGCATACATACCCCACCAAGGAAGGATATTAAATTGGCAAGAAGCAAGAGCCTGGGCAGAGAAGCCACGAAACTACTAGAAATGTTGCCGGTTTGTTAAATGGGACTTGTGTGTCTTGTGGAGCAGCTGTTAATATCCTTGATCCGATGAGCATCCACAAGGAAACACAGCTGGGAGGGATCGATGGGCGAGGTGCCCAGCAGTGCCTTGGCAGAGAAAAACTGGAAGTAACCCCGACACCGAGGCACAGGGAAAGAAACCGCAGAGCGCCTGCCCTACATGACCGTTATGCGGGTGAGGACTGGCCTCAGCAGCCACGGTCGACAGACAGAAGGGGGGTACAAGACAGCATGCGCCTGTGGAGCAGATCACGCGGATAACTTGTGCTGGGGACTCGGGAACATTTGTTGGGGGGAGGGGCCGGCGCTGGGGCAGAGCAGGTTAGCCCACCACCGTGACACCGTCGTCCCATGTGGATCAGAGCACTGGTTCGAGTCTCGGCTGCTCCATTTCCAGTTCAGCTCCCCGGGAAAGCAGATGACTCAAGTGCTTGAGCCCTGGGACCTGCGTGGGAGACCCGGAGGAAGCTCCTGGCTCCTGGCTTCAGGTCGACCCAGCAGCCATTTGGGGAGTGAACCAGCGGATGGAAATCTCTCTCTCTCTCTCTCTCCCTGTCTGTCTCTCTCCCTCTCTCTCTCTAATTCTGCCTCTCAAGTAAATAAATTTTTTAAAATGCATAGAAAAGTGGGATTAAAAGGCAAGGTTTTTTTTTTTTTTTTCAAAACAACTTGGAAATCCATGCACAGCTTTTTTTCTAATACCCATTCTTCCAGGAACTAATCCACTCCTATCTCCCTCCCTCCCTTCCCTTCTCCTGTCCTTTATTTTTAAGATTGAGCAATCACATAGCAAAGGTCCCACCCCTTAAATGCATGAACCAAACACAGAATATTTACAGGTGTGTGCACCTGCCATTCATTCAAGGTCAAGAACTCTCATCTCTTGTCCATCTTCTCTTGCTCCCTCCCTCCTCCCATGCCTTCTTCCCAACTCCTCACCCCCATCTTATGTCGCCCAGTTGGCTGTTCTTTTTGACAAAACCCATTCCAGCAGGCGACACACTCGCACTGTGGAGTCTGAAACACACCCAGTCCACAGCACAGGCAAAGGCAAAGGACAAACATCCACTCCCTCTTCAGACTCCGGCCCTTGTGGGCAGCCATGGGTGGAGGTCTGCTATCCTGGCTGTGGCGAACCCCTAAGCTAGTTCTCAGCACACATGCCACCTCCTCCGGGAAGCCTCCCTGGACCAGGCTGGAAGCAGGTCCAATCTAGGGCGTTTCATCTGCAGCATTGTGCACAGTGCTAATTCTCCACTTGTGCACTTCCAGCATGGGCTGGCATGTGTCTCTGTTGTATTCTAATCAGGGCAGACCCCAAGCCACACCTCCCACACGACGCACACTCCCTACTGCAAAATCCCAAACCCCAAAACACCCCACAGATGTACTGGCGTGATGCCACATAGGGAAAAAATTTCACACCACCAAGCATTGCTCCACACACAAAATCCGAAAAACTGCACACACGCACTGCCCCTCCCCCCCCAACCCAGGCTGTGTGCAGCAGGTGCATCATGAACTTTAAATCTGGTCCCATCCCCAAGACAGCACTTGATGTCTATGCAAATATTACCCAATTGACAAAAAAAAATTTAAAAAACACCAAAAAACACAAACACTTTTGGTCCCCAAGCGTTAGGACTACAGGAGTCGCCCTGTAACAAAGATTGGCCAAGGATACTGGCAGCGGGCCCAGAAGCCTTTCGGGAACTTCGTAACCAGTCAGCGGCAGGCGCCAGCCTCCGAAGCTGGGACTCACCCACGGAGGCGATGTCGGCCAGCTGATCCTCCGCCTCCTCTGGGTGGAGCAGGTCCGTCTTGCTCTTCTTGATAGTGGCTCTCCGCAGAGCTCCAACAATGGAAACATGGCAGGAGACAAAGACATTACCCTTTCTGCAGCAGCGGCCATGGGGCATCTGCGGGTCTCACCCAGGGCCATCGGCCCATTTTATAGATGGGGACAGTGGGGGAAAAGGGCTTCAGGGAGGCGATGCCATAATTTGCCTCTGCTCCATGCCGTTAGGTACCCTCTTATTTTTTAGATTTATTTATTTATTTGGAAGTCAGAGTTGGAGATGGAGAGACAGAGATAGAGATCTTCCATCTGCTGGTTGGCTCCCCAGATGGCCTGGGCCAGGTCAAAGCCAGGAGCCTGGAGCTCCATCCGGGTCTCCCACGTGGGGACAAAGGCCCTAGCACTTGGGCCATCTTCCGTTGCTTCTCCCAGATGCATTAGCAGGGAGCTGGGTGCGACGTGGAGCAGCCAGGAGTCAAGCCAGGGCTCACATGGGAGGCTGGGGCGGCTTTAACCTACTGCACCACCATGCCGGCCCCTCCCTCTACTTCTAAGTGGCGGGAAAACTCACTTCCTGGGAGCTCTGGGCTGGAAACAGGTGACAGTTCACACCCCTGGATCAGCCTGGTGGGCTGGGGCTGTGATGTCCCCTGCCACAGGGGACGCTGCCCAAGGGCTTGCAGGGGCCAAGCTCATGTGCAGCAAAGAGGCATCAGATGACCTCACAGGGAGCCTGCCCCTCCCCGGCCTCCTACAAATGGTACCGTTCACCTTACAACCCTCTGGGATGGAACCCCCAAGCCGGTCTCCCACGTGGGCAGCGGGAGCCCAGGCTCTTGAGCCATCGCCCGCCTGGCACCTCCCAGGGTGCATGTGCACAGGTAGCTGGCGGCAGGTGCAGAGCCAGGACTGGAGCCCTGCCCTGTCCACCACCGGTATTCCCGGTATTTTCATTCAAATCCAGGATGATTACACGTTCCTGTAGCCAACAGAAATGGCGCAGGGCCCGCAGCAGGCCCTGTCCTCGGCCTCTCATGGCTGCTCTCCTGGTCTCTCTCCCAAGAGAGCACCCAGCCAAGGTCGGCACAAGGTTCCCCTCTGCTCTGCGCCTCTGTGGCCAAGGGCAGGTGGAACACGGAGAAATCACGGAGAGTGCCCAGGTTCTCAGCAGGTGCGAGGCAGCAGCATTAGAAGCTAAGTTTAGGGCCCGGTGCTGTGGTGTAGTGGGTGAAGCCGCCGCCTGCAGTGCTCGCATCCCATATGGTGCCGGTTCAAGTCCTGGCTGCTCCACTTCCCATCCAGCTCCCTGCTAACGCGCCTGAAAAAGCAGTGGAAGATGGCCCAAGTGCTTGGGCCCCTGCACCCGTGTGGGAGACTGGGAAGAAACTCCTGGCTCCTGGCTTCGGATTGGTGCAGTTCTGGCCGTTGCAGTCAATTGGGGAGTGAACCAGCAGATGAAGACCCCTCTCTCTCTCTCTCTCTCTCTCTCTCTGTAGCTCTGGCTTTCAGATAAATAAATAAATCTTCTAAAAATGGAGATGAGTTTATTTTGGTACCAAAAAAGAAAATTCTTTGAAATGCACGGGATTTTTTTTCTTGGCCTTTTTGAAGCCGCCCTCGAACGCACTGACGTGGGGTTTGGTGTTGAAGATTTCAGGCACCCAGCGGGAGTCTTAGAATGGCTCCTTGCAAGCACGCGGGGTGGGTGACAGCTTTAGTAATATATGGTGCCCATTTTCCAGATAAGAAAAACAGGCAGAAGCAGCTGGGTGGAAAAAAATGAGCAGCCCTAGACTGCAGGCCTGGGATGTCTCCCCTCCCTGGTCAGGCCTCGCTTGGGGTCCGCAGCCGCCTCCCCCGGGCGGAACCCTTCCCGGGAGCCCGCAGGCTGGCGGCAGAGCAGTTACCATCAAAGGGATGTCTCTGCTCCACGTCGGTCTCGTCCTCTGCGAGGATCACCTCTTCTGGGGGAGGAAGAGCGCAGGGGTCAGCTCCCCTGGCCGCCTGGGGAAGAGGGGGCGTCTACCCCCAGGCGCCCCCATTCTCCCAGCCCAAGCGTTCCTGACTCATGGCCAGAGGAGAAACAGCCAACCACTCCATGGCGAGGCCCCAGGGCTCCGGGCCTGCGGGAGCTTGAGCCCTGCTGTGGCCGTGGAGCCAGGCGGTGGGGTCTTTAAAAGGCGGGGCCTGGCGGGAGGCGATTGCGGCATCGCCCTCAGATGGCTCTTGTGTGGGATTCGGGAGTTCTCACGCGGGCCGGTGGGAGGTGACTGCTTTCATGGTGGGGTGCTAGCCCTGAAAGGGGATGAGTGAGGAAATCTCGTGGGATTCCTGAGTTCTCGCGAGAGAGTGAGTTCTTAAGAGCCCTGTCTGGAGTCTCCAGAGCTGTGCGCCCCCTTTTCTTTACACAGTGAACCTGCGTCCTGCCCTGGGTCCCTCCCTGGCTTCCTGCCCGAGTCTCCACGATGCTCCAGCCTCAGGGCCTTTGCACTTCCTATCCCGAATGTCTAGAATATTCCTTGGCCTCCCTGCAGCGAGGTCTCTGCCGCCTGGGAGTCGGCCCCTGGCCACTCTGCCCGCAGCTGCCTTCCACCCCCTACTATGCGCCTACTTCTCTTGCTAGCAACGGGCAGCACCCCTCCCTCTGTCCTCTCGTCGGTAGCAGGTCCGAGACCCAGGCAGGGGGCAGAGTCTGGGTCTGTTTGGTTCGCTACCATCTTCTCAAGTGCCTGGAACCGAACCCAAGGGCCGTGCGCTTCCCCATTAAACAGCTGAGGCTGGGGGAGGCGGGGCCGTGGCGGGGAGCTGGCAGAGCTGGGCTGTGGTCTCAGATCTCCGCCAGTAGCAGCCTGTCTTCCAGCCAGATTCTAAAACCTGGGACACCCCCATATAGGACAACCCCCATATAGGACCTTTCTCCTGACGTCCTGGCCCATCCCCGCAGGTCTCTCCAAGATGCGTTCCCGACTCTGCGTGCGGGCTCTGGGTGGTGGGGTGGGAGGGGGCCCGGGACCTCGCCCTCTGCCTCTCCGGGACACCTCACCTGCTTTTGAGATCCACTCCATGTACCCGTTGAGCTCGCGTTCAATCTGCTGCTGCCGCCGCAGCTTCAGGAATGCGCGCCGGTTCTCCACCCGCTCCCTTTCTTTGGCAAACTCCCTGTAGAAGCACAACAGCGGCCAAGGCTTGGGGGTGGGTTGGGGAGGGGGCTTTTAGGGGAGCCTGAGTGTATGTGTGCGCGTGGGATGCAGGGGGTTCCGGCAGGGGTCAGGTCTCCTGCGAGATCAGAAACTAAAAAGGCAGCAGGTGCACACATTTTTTTTTTCTCACAATTGCAACCAGCTAGGGGAAAACAAGCAAAAACATAAAACCATATGATGTGAGTCCCTGCTGGCTGAATTCCCCAACCCCATTCTTTCCCCCAACCCTGTCTTAAAAAAAAAAAATTGTTCTCGGCCCTCCTTTGAATGATGCTCATGGGATCATAAGATTTGGGCAGCCGCTCCACTTCCCAGGAATAGGCTCCTCCTCTTCCTGTTTCGCTTCTTCCTCTTCCTGTTTGGGACATGGGGCAGCCATCTTGCAAGTCGGAGGCAGCCATAATGAGACTGGGAGGTACCCGTGAGACTGGAAGCCCCTGGTGAGGCTGTGAGAGTGCAAGACTGGAAGGATCTGGGTTGCTAATGGTGCCGCTGAGCCACCACACCAGTTCCCAGGTCTCCTGTGGGAGCCCGTTTATGATTAAACTTTTAAAAAAGAGAAACTTTGGGCAGAGAGCACATGTGTCAGGAAAAAAATGTGTATTTGTGTGCTGTGGTTCTGTATTTGAAAAGTGGGGAAGAAAGAAACCCAAACTGTTCTTAAAAAAAAAAAACCACTAAATTTAAGAAGTACAGCTCTGCGCCCACTCACTCACAGGGTACTGGCTTGCTAATGCCAATCTGGCTAGCCCAAAGCAAGGGGCAAGGGATATTTTTTTTTTTTTTTTGCCTGGAGAATGAAAACAGATTTGATGGCCTCTTCGGAGAAGAAATTAGGAGGGAGACCTGGGATCGGTGTGTGGATGGAGTGGTGGAGACTTACCCTGACAGCACACCCAGCACGAGGTTCAGCATAAAAAAGGAGCCGATGATGATGAGGGGGATGAAGTACAACCAGTTCCAAGTGTTCCCTGAGGCATCGTTGCTCTGCAGGGGGCGGGGAGGGAAACCAGGTGAGAGTTGAGTGGGGCTCAGAGAGGACCTGACGGGTAGGGGACGATGAGCTTTGCTTCTCCTGGGACTCTGTTCTCAGAACATTGTTGTCTGATGAGTTCTGGATCTCTGGACAAGGCCAGAAAGGGAAAATGGAGGAGTGAGGCCCAACCAACGGGGGAAACCACCTGGATGGGGCTCCCTCCAAAGCACGCAGTCCACACAAGATGTAGGAATTAGCTCGAAACACAAGGGGGCGCCCTAGACCAGAGGCCGGAAGGAGAGGGACAGAACCCCCCCCCACACACACACACTGAAACGGAGACACAAGTCCACAGTGCCCAGCCCCCTCCATGCAGAGACGCGTGATCCCAGGTTCTGAGGGCCCAGTGAAGTCACCAAGTCACACGGCAGGGTCATGAGCCTGTTCCTCAAGTGGCTCCCCCTCTCTTCCCTGCACCCTCTATGCCAAGCACAGGGGAGCCCCCCAAAGTGCCCAGCTTCCTTTCAATAGGAAAAGTCCACAAACAGAACATTTTCCCTCTGCAACAGAGAACAGACCAGTTGTAGCAGAAGAAGGGAAGAAAAAGCAGGAACAGAGAGATGCCAAGAGGGAAGAGGCCTTAAGAATGATTAAAAAAAAAAAGGGCAGCACTTAACAGATGATTTACTGGGTGCCAGGCACTGTCGTAGGCCTGCGTCTGATGTTAACTCACTCACTGACTCCTCATTGTGTCCCTGTGTTAGCCTCGTGCCCATTTCTCTAGCTGAGAGAGTGAGGCCCAGAGAGATGGTGACAGCAGCTCAAGGTCACAGAGGGCAGGCAGTAGCAGATGTGGAATTTGAGCCAGGCAGTCAGTTCCCTCCAGAGTTCAGAGGGAAGTCTCGGCTCAAAGTCATCGGGGCAGAGGGAGCCCTCTAGTGGTTCCTCCCTTGTATGCAGGTTGTAAAAGTCTTGAGTGTGGCTTTAAAAGCTCACCATCCAACGTGCATTTGACACTGTGGCTGCTTCATTGGCTAAGGTGGGAAATTCTGACACCATCAGGTGTTGGTGAGGTTGTGGAGCTCCTGGAACTCTCATTCCCTGCCCATATGAGGGCAACATGGTGTATTAACCTCCTGCCAGTGACAAAGAACCACAAACCAAGTGCTGCACATGTGAAAACATGTGTTATCTCGAAGTTCTGGGAGCCAGAAACTCAAGGTCAATGTGTCAGCAGGGTTGGTTCCTGCTGAGACTCTGGCCCGTGCCTCTCTCTCTGCTTGTGCTTATTGGCTGGCAATCTGTAGCATTCCGTGGCTTTTGCACCAGTGCCCTTGTCTCTGCCTCCACCTTCACACTGCCTTGTTCTTCCATGTGCATCTTTCTCTGTGTCAAAATCCCCCCCCCTTTTTTTATAAGGAAGCCGGCCACATTGCATTAGGACAACCCTGCTCCCCACCCATAACCTTATCTTTAACTAATTCCATGTGCAATCTATCAATCTCCTTCCCAAATCAGGTCTTGTTCTGAGGGTCCGAGGAACAGAATCTCAACACAGGAACATGGGGAACAGACACAGGGAAATTCATGGATCATGGGGCCACCACTTTTAAGAGTAGGTCGAGCATATCTACCTAAGCAAATGACCTTTGTGTAGCTTTGCTAAGATCTCACGACACCACGGCTGTGTAGAGCCTGCATTCACCAAGGGTGTGCTCACCGTGGAGATGTCTATCCCAGCCCTCAACTGCCATCAGCCCAAATCCTGATCAAGAGGAGAGAGGATACATGAGTGGAATATTATCTGGTGAATGATGGCTGTGTGTCACACGTGAAATCTGACAAAGTTACTCTAGAGAAGAGGAAGCCAAAGAGAAAAGATCACATAGTCCTAGGCTTTGTAAGGATGTTGTAGCCAATGACAGATGGCACACGTGATGGTGATCTAGTTAAGATTACACTGCCTAGGGGTCGGCGCTGTGGCATAGCAGGTAAAGCTGCTACCTGCAGTGCCTGCATCCCATATGGGCGCCGGTTCGAGTCCCAGCTGCTCCACTCCCGATACAGCTCTCTGCTATGGCCTGGGAAAGCAGTAGAAGATGTCCCAGGACCTTGGACCCCTGCACCCATGTGGGAGACCTGGAAGAAGCTCCTGGCTCCTGGCTTCCCATCAGCCCAGCTCTGGCTGTTGTGGCCATTTGGGGAGTGAACCAGTGGATGGAAGACCTCTCTTTCTGTCTCTCTAATAAATAAATCTTTAAAAAATACCCACCCAGGGTGGTTCTCTGGTACGAACAGGCAGGGGAGCAACATAAAGCAGCCCCCTCACCTCTCCCTGGACGCTCCCAATGCAGTGCATGGGGATCCTGGTTCAACAGAGGCTCCGTCATTTGCTGCAGAAGGGAACTGATTCATCGCAGCCATGCCGGGGTCTCTCGCGGCGCCTGGCGCCTCATCAGCGCTCAATAAATACGCAGCCATCAGATAAATGGCTGAGCCCCAGCGGAGCCCTCCCCATGTCTTCTGTTCAATGGCTCGACAACGTCTTCTCTTCTCAGTTTTGGGAGCACGGCTCCTTTGGAATGAGTTCAGAGGATGTAAAAAAAAAATCACATACATCCGCCCAGTTTCCCGGCCGGTAGAATAAAAGTGGGGTGCATTTGACCCCAGAGGAGCTGCAGGGTGGCAGCGGCCATGAGGGATGCCCTTGAACAAACACACAGCTGTCATAGACCTTGTCCTGTCTGTCGACTGTTTTCAAGATGTATTTACCTATTTCAAAGGCAGGGAGGGAGAGAAAGAGTGAGCGAGCAAGCCAGAGAGAGAGAGAGAGAGAGAGGTCTTCCATCCACTGGTTCACTCCCCAAATGACAAAGGGCTGAAGTCAGGAGCCAGGAGCTTCCTCCAGGTCTCCCACATGGGTGTAGGGGCCCAAGGACTTGGGCCATCTTCTACTGCTTTCCCAGGCCATAGCAGAGAGCTGGATTAGGAAAGGAGCAGCCTGGACTTGAACCAGCGCCCATTTGGGATGCCGGCACTGCAGGCGGCGGCTTTACCCACCATGCCACAGCGCTTTTTTTTTTTTTTTTTGATAATTCTAGGCCAAACTATTTTATCCTTTTTTGTCAATTCATCTTGAAGGCCTCTTCCCCCGCCCCCTCTCTGCCTAGGAAGTCATCTGCTGCCCCCCCTCCTGCCCCGTCTCATCCGGCCTCTCCTCTGTTCTTACTCCTTCCCTTCTGCCTCCGGTGCCCGCCACAGGGTCTTGGCACCTGCTAAACTGTCCTCCCGGTAGGGGGCACCCTTCCCTGTGATACCCACGTGGCTCCCTCTCACCTGCCTCAGGTCTTACCACAGAGACAGCAGTCTCTCCCCTCCCCGGGCTCATGTGTTGCCCCACTCCCCGCAAAGCCGAGTGTAGGATCCAATGAGGTGGTCGGGGTCGGGGCGGGGGAGGGGGCTGTGACCTGATCCACTCACTCATGTGCTCCGACAAGAGACTCTATGTCCGCCCCACACCCCCCAGGCCAGAGGCACCAGCAATTCAAGTTTGGTTTCTGCCTTGGCCTCTGGCTGTCCCCACCGACTCGCCAGTGCTCCCAGGAGCCTGGATAAGACCCTGCATGCAGCAGGCATGGTACCGTGCACCTGCAAACTGGAGGCTTGCAATGACTGTTGAGTGAATAAGCGACCGGCCATCCCCCAAAGTCTGACAGTCTCCTACCACCTGCAAACGGAACAAGGCTTTGCTCAAGGATCCGCTCCGGCCACGAGGGGCCATGTGGCTGACGCACGGGTGTCTGTGATCACCAAGTAGAGTTACTTTTGTGGCTCTCCCGCCTGGCATTAGGCAGGGGAGAGACACTGAACCACGGAGAAAAAAATCCCGTGGCCCCTCCCGAGGTCGCTTTGAGAACTGCATCAGGCTGGGTCGCAGCCAATGGCAGCCAGGAAAAAAAAAAAAGCCAAACATGAATTCAACGCAGCCTGCTTCCTGCAGGGCTCTGACCCAGGACCGCAGCCCCTCACCGGGGGATCCCAGCACCCACACACAACCCCTGCTCTGTGGGGTGCACTTGGTGAGGGGTCCTTGTGAATGAGGGGTTGCCAGCTCCTGCCCCACCCCGCCCTGCCCCAGGCCCCCCTTGAGCTCGGACCACCGCCCAGCCCCGCTCCTATTCGCCGGGTGCCCTGGTCAGGTGTGGCCTAACCCCGCCAGGTCTCGGAGCCACAAGCCTGGACCCAGCGTGGCGAGGGTGGATACGTGCTGTCTGCAGCGGCTCCAGCTCTCGGGGGTGGATGCGCGCTCTCTGCAGCGGCCCCAGCTCCCAGGGTGGACTTGAAGGTTGGTATGTATAAAGCGAGACCCTAAGCCCTTGTCCCTGTCTGCATGCCATGATCTTGTTTCCAATTCTCCGCCAGGCTGTGTGCAGTAGGCACAGTCAATGCAGGTTTGTTGAATGAACACATGATTGACAATGAGTGTTTGTTGAATGAATATGTGATCGACCAGCCCGTAAAGTGTGACGTTTCCCTATTGGCCAAGGCTAATATCTGTGAGTGAAAAAAAGGCTGGGGTCAATGATCAGTCGCAGCCGTCAGTGGCTGTCTGTGACAGCTGGGGGACCTCACTACGGGCCCAGGGTTTCCAATCAGTCTGCACGGGCAGTCCTCGGTCCCACGGGGGGAGGGGGAGAGTGAGGTGGGGGGCAGGGCAGGTGCACCCGAAGCCCAGCTCAGGCCCTCAGCCTCCGCCTTGAGGCAGGCCTGGTGCACTGACCAGCTCGCTGTCACCAGAACTGGCACGAGAGGCAGGGTCACTTTACAGCCAGCGGCCAGCTGCAGCCCCAGCATCCCACAGGGGCACGGGTTCGAGTCCCAGCTGCTCCATTCCCGACCCAGCTCCCTGCTGATGCACCTGGGAAAGCAGCGGAAGACAGCCCAGGGACTTGGGCCCCTGCACCTGCGTGGGGGACCGGGACGGAGCTCCAGGCTCCTGATTGGTTCTGATTGGTCCAACCTGGCCGCTCCCTCCCAATGACGTCATCTAATTGAACCACTCTCCCAGGAAGCACCTGGCTGTCCCCAGAGTTCACCCAGCGGCCCGGAAGACTGCCATGGTTTTGCAGGAGACAAACCACCACTCCTGGTCTCCTGCAGGGGGCGCTCCTGCATAACCGGTGGCCAATAATGGTTTTGCAGGATTCTGGGGGCCAGGGCTCAACCTCAGACAAACTCGTCTCTGCAGGGGGCGCCCCTCGTCTCCTGCAGGGGGCGCCCCTGTGAGAGCGGGGGCGGGGGTCTGGCACAGCCCTTGGGTCGCCGCTCGGGGGCGCCCCCAGCCCAGGGTGCCTGGGGTCCCAGGCCCGATTCCTGCTTCTCTAATTCCAGCTCCCAGCCCATGCACACCTCGGAGAGGGGGTGGCAGGTGAGGGCTCGTGTGCTTGGGTCCCTGCCACCCACCTAGGAGAGCAGGGTGGATGCAAGATTCTCTAACTCTGCCGTTCAAAAAACGAATACATCTTTAAAAACAAACAAAACAAAACAAAAAACAAAACAGGTGCATGCGAGGTTAAAGCGCCTTTTCCCCCCAAAGCCAAGTGGGAAAAGAAAAAAAAAATGAGAAAACCTGCAGGTGTTGGGGGAAAATGCTCTCTCCCAACTGGCTCATTTTCTTTGAGCTCAAATGGCACCTTCTCCAAGAAGCCCCCCCAGATTGCCCGACAAAGCCCCTTTCTTTGTATCACACATTGGCTTCCTGTTTTCTGGACCCATTCTTGGTCCTCTGCCACCACCTTCAGCGTCTGGGTGTGTTCTGATTGCTGACCCCACCTCCCCCGCCCCGTCATCTGACCATGGCGACGAGTTTCTAGAAGGAGCTCTCGGATGAGCAGGGCCGGGGCACAGCGCTCACGGCTTCACGGGTCTCAGACTCATGCCCTGGGAGGCTCCCGCTTCTCCCGTTTTGCATGGTGTGGGATGAGGGGGCACAGAGAGGCCAAGCGACTCGCCTGAGGCTGCACAGCAAGGAAGTCCTGGGAGCCTAAGCCCCAGGAGGCCACGCACACGGGGCCAACGACCCTGGGACAACAGCGCCTATCCCTGGAGACTCTGGTCCTGCACTCCCCGCCTCTCCCACCAGGGGGCGCCCTCGCCTGAACACCTGACCCCCCTCTCTCTCTGCGTTCACGATTTTCTCAGCCCCCGAGTCTCTTTCCGCCTGAGCTCTGAAACCTCCCCCAGGTTCTCCCCAGCTGCTTCCCTCCCAGGAGGGCTCATTTCTCATGGGGACCTATGACTCGGAACAGCGCCCCCTAGGCGCGGGTGCTGGGCACAGCAGCCAAGACGCCTGCAGCCCGTCTCCAAGTGCTTGGCTTTCGAGGGATCCTCTAGCTCCTGCGGATGTGCACCCTGGACGGGCACAGGTGATGGCCCAAGTCGCTTGGGCCCCTGCACACACGTGCAGCTTCGGGTTCCTGGTTTGGGATCCAAACCAAGTTCAGGACCAAGGACAGCGGTCCACGCGGTGGGGGGTGGGGGGGTGGGCAAGCGCCCCGGGTAAAATCTTGAATAGCCACTCAACAAACAGATGCCTTTTGCGTCTATTTCGCGTGGTGGGCCAGGGTCCACGCCTCGGACACGGGCACCTGCAGAGGGTCTCAGTGTGGGGAGAGCCGGCCCCGCCCCTTGGCTGTGGCCTCGGCGCCCTCGCCCCCCTGGACCCTAGCCCAGCCCCATTCTCTTCCCATTCATGGCTCGCTTCTTGGCACAAGGGCTCTGAGCTTTGGCCACAGGTGCCTTTGGGAGGCAGGGGGTATAACCAGATCCCCCGAGGAATCGCGGGCGAGTCCAGGGAAGCTGGGCTTGAGCAAGGAACTTCAAAGCCAGGTGCGTGCCCCCCACCCCCGGCGTCGCCGCCTCCTCGAGGGTCCCCCATCACTCACGTTGTAAAGGAGGTCCGTCCATCCTTCCATTGTGATGCACTGAAAAACAGTCAGTACGGCGAACAGGATGTTGTCGAACTGGGTGATCCCATTGTTGGGTCCTTCCCAGTAGGGCTGGCATCTGGTCCCATTGGGGCAGGTGCGGGCGGGTTCCTCTGTCCCGCATGGAGCCGGAGACTCCCCCTGAATGTCGTCTGTGGGAGGGAAGAGGAAAGTCAGGGCGAAGCAGTGTGGGGGCGGGGGAGCCAACTGAGAAACAGGGACCAGCGAGTTGGAGACAATGGCTTCCGGGCTGCACTCACTAATCTGTTGATCCATCTACAGATCAAGGCATCCACTCAGCTATCCATCTATTTATCTGCCTACCCATCTATCCATCCATCTATCATCCATCCATCCACCCATCAATGATCTGTCATTAACTCTCTGAGAGACTAGACACCGAATCCCCAGGTACCTATCACCAGGTCCAACACCTACCTATCCATCTACTCTGGCCCAGTCTGTCTGTCTTCTCTCTCCCCTCGACGCCCTCTGCCTTCCACTAAGCCTGCTTTTAAAGCCAGTCTCGCACGCTTCCCAAGCGCTCTCATCCTGTTCCTGAGGCCCTGGGTCCTTGCGCTGCAGCTGCGTGTTTTCCCCACTTGACCCGAGCTTGCTTTCAGTCCTGGTTTTGCAGTCCCTTTGGGTAACAAACGGTGCGTGCGCCTTGGATGCCATGTGTTCTGAGGACCCATTTGTCAGTCGCCTTGTGTTACTTTCTGAGCCTTGTTGACTGTCTTCTGGGCTCAGATGGCCTGGGGGCGAGGACACCAGTACGCACAGTCCCTCCTCTTGCCTGGGGGTTAGGTACACAGGGAGCCAAGTCTTCCTTCCCCAAGGAGCCAGGAGGTGGATTGTGCAAATGCCACAAGGAGAGAGAACTGTGACAATGGGTGTCCCTGGCGGGGTGGTGGTGGTGGTGGTGGTACTGGGAGGTTTACTGGGGGAGGCGGCCCAAATCCCAAAGGTGCCGATGGGGCTGGCAACACCCTCAGCTCCCACCCTGGGGGAAAGAAGTCTCCGCCAGGCCAGAGTTGGGGATATGGGAGGAGTCTGTTCCGTGAGTGACACCACTGGGGCTTTCCAAAGACAGGGCTGTGAGGGCGTGAACCTGAGCTTCCTCTCAACCGAAATACATCTCAAGGTACAAGCTTGGGGGACCGAGTCGCACCCTGGACAGTGGGAAGTAAAGCAACAGGGATCAGAGGGTGCTGGGTGAACAGAGACCCCCTCCCCACCTCCCCAATCCAGCCTCGCCGCTCATCCCAGCCCATGGAAGATGCCTTCATCCCTCACGGGGCGCCCGACAGGCCCAGTTTGGAAGGCAACGTGTTTCTAACACAAGGCTCAAGGCAGGAGGCAGGAGAAAGAACTCCATGGGCTCCTAAAATCAGAGAGAACTGCTGTGTACTTGGCCATGTGCCAATTTTTTTTCTTTCTGGAAGCTTCTCTGTGTCCACCCTGGCTCAATTTGCACACCCCCAGGGTAACCCTTCTGTGCTGGCCCTATGCATGGGGTGTTCCCGTGTCTGGGGGTGAGTGGCTGCACCCCCACATTAGCCTGCACCCTGCAGATGGCTGTGAGTGATGGGCCTGTACCTTGGAGGCTCTGAGCGAGCAGGAAGCTGCCCCCCACCCCCCCATACCACTGCATTTCTCTTCCTTTCCGCTTGTTCACTCCCCAAATGTCCACCACATCTTCGACAGGTGCACAGACGGGGCCAAGCTAGGAGCAGGGAGCTCCATCCAGGTCCCCCACGTGGGCGGCAGGTGAACCAGCCCAGAGTGCGCGTTAGTAGGAGGCTCGACTCAGAGGAGGAGGCGGGACTCGAACCCAGCACCCCCACAGGGGATGTGACCAAACCCCACCCACTCCCCCTCCCCTGCCCAGAGTGGTGCTTTTGTCTGCAGACTCCATCAACACGAAGCCTTTTCAGGATCACTTCTCAAAAAAAAAAAAAAAAAAAAATCCATCCAGAGAGTCTGAGGAATTTGGTTATAAATACATTTTAAAATTAGCCAGCTGCCTGGGTGTGTGCATATATATCTGTCTCTTACTCACACGTGTGATATTTTTCATTGTGAGGTTTTTCAGCCACCTTCCTAAAGCGAGGCTTCCTACGCACCTGCGTCCCCTCGAACCCCATCCAGACCCAAGCCAAGCTCGGGGACCTGCAGGACAGAAACTCCACAGACAGGACCCTCTGCCAGCGGCTGATTTTTCCAAGGTTTTTCTCTCTCTCTCTCTCTGGTTTCCGCCTGACGAGACCAGCAGCAGAAATAGCTCCTTCCTCAATCAACACCTCCCTCATCGGGGAAAGAAATAATTAGGACGTTCCATATTGAGCAAACTTCGCAAGCCCAGGAGACAAGCAGACCGGAGGAGGAAGAAGAGAAAAGGGGCAAAAAGACCAAAAAAAAAAAAAAAAAAAAAACACCCCACAACCACCACCACCACCAATAATTCTTCCCCTGGGGCTGATCCCGGCCGAGATTGTGGAGGGAGGTAGGGGTGGGAGGCCACATCTTCTGTGGCCGGGTCTCCCCCTTCCTGGGTGGTTTCTTGGGACCACCAGCGCGGCCTGAATCCCGAGCGGCAGGTGCCCTCCTTGTTGGATTCCACACGGTTCTAGAGAGCAGACAATCCCACATCCGAAAGCCAGTCCAGCCCCGAGCGTCCCCAGTGGGCGTCGGGGTAGGGGACACCTGTTCTTCCATATGGCAGGCTCAGGGCTGAGCGCCAGGGCGCATGTCTCTTTCCTGTTCCCCCCACCCCCATCCCTTTCTGCTGGCCCCACTCCTACAGGTCCCCTTGAGCCAGCCACTGGAGGGTTAACAAGGCCGCTGTGCTGGGAGGGGCTCGGACCCCCTCCCCTCCCCGGGGCGCTGGATTCTGATTGGGTGATGCCAAGATGCCTCCAGGGATGGGCTGAGGTTGCCAGATGGTGACCACCAGCTATAGGGACTCCTGCTTGTGTCCTGTTGTCCCTTGCCCTGCCCAGGTGGGCTCTGACCTGGAGACCCTTTGCTCTCAGCAGCCAGCTGTGCAGGGGGCGTCCTCACCAAGGCGGAACAGGAATCCGTGGATAAATACCCAAGCTCCCTCGCTCCCCTGCCTGACTTGGTCCTGGCTGAGGTGCGCCCCACACTGCCTCCTAGTGGTGCCCAGTGGGACTGCATCCTGGTTACCCCCTGGGTCGCTGGCGGGGTTATTTCTTTCTTTACCCAGATATCTCGCTTTCCAGGGTTATTCCCAAATAAATCACGTTCCCTCAGGTCACTTTCCAAGGGGCCCTAGCCTACAGCCAGCAGTGCCAACCCAGATCTTAGCGGGGAGGGCGGCGGTGGAGGAAGGGGGGGGTGCTATTTCAGCCAAGATTTTTTTTTTTTGAGTCAGCCTCGTAGCAGCCAGGAGAAAGAAGCCCCTGCGAATCCCCTTTACATATTAAAAGAAGAAAATTGAAAACCCACCACCGACCACGTCACCTACCTGTCCCCTCTTCAAAGCAGGTGGTATGAAATTTTCCCATATAAAATTCTAACCCTATGATTGCAAAAATAAGTATTGCAAAAAATAGGAGGAGTCCGATCTGCAGCAGAGGAATCATCGCCTTCATGATTGACTTCAAGACGACTTGTAAACCTGGGAGGAGGGAGAGACAGAGAGAGGACCCCGGCGGGGGGGAGCCCGTGAGCTGGCATCCCCGGGAACTCTTACCAGGAGGATTGGGGGGGGGATCTTGCCGGGGATGGGCGCTTATGGTGGCGGAAACAGCCTTCTGGGTTTTAGAAGCACCTGTGAAGTCCTGGGAGGGGCGGTAGTATCCGTTCCATTTGGTGACCTTTTGGGTGAGAAATCCCAGTGTTTCTGAGCCAAAGCTTTAGGGGTTTGGGCAGCTTTTATCCAGCAGGTAAGGTAGCGCGTTCTCCTAAAGACACACTCCTCTGTGTGTGTCCTGCTCCCCGGGGTGTGGGCAGGTGAGTCCCATTATACAGAAGGGAGAAGCGAGGCTCAGGGGTGCTGCTGTGGTTCATCCCAGAGCCGGTGCGAGGACAGAAGCGGGATTCGAACCCAGGTCCCTCTAACAGAGCCCAGTGTTCCCCTATACGCTGATTCTCTGTTCTGAGCAACCCAACAGGGGACAGATGGTGGTGAATGACAAGGCGGAGAAGGGGCTGGGGGCAGCGCAGGGCGCCTCCAGGGGCGGGGCTTGCGCCAAGGCCTCTACTCCTGCCGAGCCTGCCCCCTTGTTACACTTCCGCCCCTGCCCCACCACCCTGCTACCCTCGGACTCATTCGCCGCAGAGCCCCGCCCCCTCCGAGGGAGCAGGTGCAACTGCACCCCTCCCTCCTTCCCTCTCGGCTTCCATGGAGCGCGGCGGTGGGGGGAGAGGGATCCAAGCCAGTCAGCTGGCGACATCACCTTGGGCAAAGGGAGGGCGTCACTCCAAACCTCAGTTTCTCCACCTGTAAATGGGGACCCCGAGGGGACCTCCCTGGCAGAATTAAATGGGTGAGTCCACATCTAGCTTTGGTGGGGTTCTTGGTGTAATACGAGACAGGCGACATTAGCTGGGATCTTTGCAGAGACCCGGGTACAAATGCGCAGTTCCTACGAAGAGCCCCGGTCTTTGCCACCGGTGTCACCGCCCAGCCTTGGGGTTCCCACTCGCTAACTCTCAGTTCTGCCGCTTCTCAGCCATGGGACCCTCCTCCAGTTTTTCAGCCCCAGAGTGGTGAGAGGTGAATGAGATCATGGCTGGTAGACAACAGGTGCTCAAAAAATGCACCAGGCTCCTGGTTGGCTTCCTGGGGGCTCCCCTGAAAAGGAGAGACTGTCCTGATACAGGCTGAGGGGGTGGGGATCCCCCCTGAGATCCTCTGCAGAGAGGGAAACCGAAGGCTCCCCCTCCCCGGGACCCCCGAGCAAACCCCTTGCTGGGATGCGAGACTCACGCACTTGGGATTCCAGACACCAGCTTGAGCGGCCGCAGCACCCGCACTGCTCGCAGTGTCCGAAGGTCAAACTCTGTCCCAACTGTCGCCAAGATGCTGGAAGAAGGCAGAATGGGAGACAGAGGGTGGGTGTCAGGGTCAGCAGACAGGTGGGCGGGGCCACCGGAGGCTCCTCCTCCTCCTCCTCTTCCTCTGCTGGGTGTCCATTTTGTTACCTGCAGAACCGTATCTGCACGTCGTGGGATAGAAGGCGATTGACGGAGACTTGGAGCAGGTGCGCGCTTTCCTGGGGGGTGGGGGGAGAGGGGTGGTGTCGGGGAGCCCCTGGGACCCCCTGGGATTTGTGCTGTGTCTAAACTAGCAGGGTGCATGGGTTCCAACCCCTGCCCTGCTGGCCTCCTGTAGAATGGGAAGAGGGAAGAACAGCCGGCGTCAGCCCTAGAGGGGACCAAGTTCAAGTTTAAGGTCGCAGAAGGGTGAGCCCTTGGGTAGAATCACGGCAGTAGGTGAGATGAACTGTCCACAGCTGCTCTTTCTACGCAGACCCCGTCCGGAGACCTCAGGAGGTTGCAGGGGGACCAGGGGCCTCTCCCACACCTGCTTGCTTTCCCAGAGGTGCGTGTGGCCTGCGGTGAGCTGTCCAGGCACAAGGCAACAGAGGGGAATGGGTCACAGGCACCTCACACAGTGGACAAGACGTGCTGAGAAGCAGGCGGCTCTGTGGGTAAGCGGAGGGCACACTCTGGGCCTTGCCACATTTAGCCTGTAGCCAGCCAGTCTCTGTGCTGGTACCTCCAAGGCTGAGATGGGCCCAGGAAATAAGAAAAAGTCCCTTACCAAAGATGGCTGGCGGCAGGCGTTCCAATACCTCAGCTCCCTCGCCCCTCGGTCTGGAGGGCTCTGAGGTGTGGGTCCTCCAGGGGCTCACTTGTCCATGCCTGCTCTTCCTTGTCTCATCCATGTCCCCTCCCCTGTCAACACTCCCAGGAGTCCCCTCCCAGATTAATACCTTGCACCCGAACCGTTGTCTTCAAAACCTCACCCAAACAAACACCAAGCAGTCTTCCTATTTTTTTTTTTAATCTCACAAGCTGACTGCCCCCAGCAGAGATGCACCTGCTAGGCTGGCCTGCCCCCTGCCCCACCATCAGCAAGTATGAATCCGAGCCCAGCCCAGGCGCTGGGGAGAGCAGTCAGAGAGATCGCATCTGCTCCACGGAGCTGACGCAGGACAGTCGTTCAATGAAAAGGTGCACACAATGAATGAACCCGTCACAGGTGTGACGTATCCTCAGACAGTGAGCTGGGGAGGCAACAGCTCTTGGGGGTGGGGGTAAAGGGGCTGCAGCAGCTTGTGTTGAGTAAGTCTGGGATCTGGAGAGGCTCCAACCTCCACCTGAAGTCTTGCAGATCAGGAGGACCCTAATTATAGTGAGGGAATGAAATTTCCAGGCTGACGGATGCCCGAGCAGGATTTAGATGAGGAGGGGTAAGAGTAGGTGGGGGGAGGGACACTGGCCCACAGCCTTGAATTCAAGGTACTCTGTTGTTGTTTTTTAAAAATTCCTGCTCCAACTGCCAGATTAGTCTGGGTCCTTCAAATTCCATCTCTGGGCCGGCGCTGTGGTGTGAGGGGTTAAGTCATCACCCACAGCACCAGCATCCCAAATGGACGCTGGTTCTAGTCCTGGCTGCTCCACTTCTGATCCAGCTCTCTGCTATGGCCTGGGAAAGCAGTGGAAGATGGCCCAAGTGCTTGGGCCCCTGCACCCACACGGGAGACCTGGAAGAAGCTCCTGGCTCCTGGCTTTGGATCAGCGCAGCTCTGGCCATTGCAGCCATTTGGGGAGTGAACCAGCGGATGGAAGACCTCTCTCTCTCTCTCTCTCTCTCTCTGCCTTTCTCTGTAAGTCTGTGTTTCAATAAAATAAATGTTTAAAAAAAGTGTTCAGATTTGCACTGCCCAGCAGAAATCCAATATAAGCTGCATACAAAAAGTTTTTCAAAAATGCTTATTTTTTATTTGAAAAGGAGAGAGAGAGAGAGAGAGAGAGAGAGAGAGAATCTTTCATTCCCTAATTCATTTCCCAGATACCCATAACAGCCAGGCCAAATCAGGCCAAAGCCAGGAGTTGGGAGCTCCATCCGGGTCTCCCACGTGGGTGGCAAGGGCCCAGCTAACCTGAGCCATCACTGTCGCCTCCCAGGGTGCCCAAAAGCAAAAAACTGGAGAAACCAGAACCAGGACTCGAACCCATGCCCTCCAACGGGGGATGGGATGTGTGCATCCCAAGCAGTGTCCCAGCAGCTGGGCCGAATGCTTGCCCTGTATCTGAAGTTCTAAGTGTTCCAGTCAACACATTTTAAAAAGTAAAAAGAAACAGTTGCACTTAATTGGAATCACAACATCAATTTGTAGCGATAGCTATGGGAGAGTGGTTCCCCGGCACACACACAGCCGCCCGGCCCCACCTCCCCAGGACGCCCAGTCTATGCACCCTCAAGTCCTTTCTATACATTGGCGAAGTACTCGCTTAAAGCTTTTTGCAACAACCCCATAGACTTTAGGTCATTTGAAGGTGATTTATAGCACCTGCTACAGAGCGAAGGTGGCCGAGGTAAGGCGGCACACTGGGTTGTTTAGGGAACAGGGACATGGACAGAACATTTGCACCCATCCTGACACACACAACCATTGTGGATCTAACTAGGTTTTTCATCCGAGGTTGCTTGAATGCGGGGACGAGGGGCGGGGATGGAGAGATGGCAGATACAGAGCTGCCTGTATCATTCCCACAGCTGATCGGTGAGAAGTCTCCCACACGAGACATTTTGCACGCTCTTCGCTTTGAAATCCGCTTTGCGTCCCACACTTAAATGCTCAAGAGGGGCCGGTGTTGTGGTGTAAGGGGTTAAGGTGCTGCCTGCCATGCCGCCATTCCCACACCGATGCTGGTTCGAGTCCCGGCTGCTCCACTTCCAATCCAGCTCCCTGCTAATGCACCTGGGAAAGCAGTGGAAGATGACCCAAGTGCTTGGGCCCCTGCACCCATGTGGGAGACCTGGCTGGAGCTCCTGGCTCCTGGCTTTCAGCCCTGGCCGTTGCAGCCATGTGGGGGAGTGAACCAGCAGATAGAAGATTCTCTCTCTCTCTCTCTCTCTCTCTCTCTCTCTCTAGCTCTGCCTTTCAAATAAAATACATAGATCTTTAAAAAAAAGTGCTCAAAGACCACCAGTGGCTGGTGGCGACTGTTACTGACAGCCCAAGCGCAGAGAAAGACATCTGAGTAAAGATTGGAAGACAGCAAGGGGGTTCAGCCGCACTTCAGAGAGAAACCCCAGGCATGGGGTGGGGTGGCGGGGCCAGCCTGTGCAAATGGCATGTGTCTGGGGCCTTGGGGAGCACAGATGAGGTGCACGTGGTTGAAGCAGAATGAGTGACAGGGAAAGAGGCAGGAGCCTAAGGGCAGGGGTGGTGCACAGTGTTTGGGGACCCTGTGAGGACTTTGGCTCTTGCTCTGAGCATGCGGGAGCTATGGAAGGTTTGAGGCAGAGAAGGAAAAGAAGTAAGGCAGAGAGGTAAAGCGTGGTTTATGTGGGGAACCGAGGCTAGAGAGGAGCAGGTGCACTGGGCCAGGGGAGCAATGCTGAGCCCAGTTGCTATGGTAACCCTTCCTCAGGACCCCACACAGGTGAGCAGGTCAGAGGAGGAGGGCAACACAGACTCTTAAGACAACATCACCCGGAGTTCAAACCTGCTGGCACAGCCAGAGAGCCCAGCCATGGGGTTAAATCCTAGTCCTGGGTTTTCTCCTTGCGGGATCTTTGCCTTAACTTCTCGGAGCCTCAGAAGTGCAGATCCTGACGGGGGCAGGTGTATGTGGCATGTGGGTTAAGATACTGCTTGGAGAGAGCAGGGCCAGTGGCGCAGCAGGTTAAAGCCCCAGCCTGCAGCAGCAGCGGCATCTCTTATGTGCGCTGGTTCAAGTCCCGGCTGCTCCACTTCCAATTCAGCTCCCTGCTATGGCCCCTGCACCCATGTCAAAGACCAGGAAGACGCTCCTGGCTTTGTCTGGCTTAGTCCTGGCTGTTGTAGCCATTTGGGGAGAAAACCAGTGGATGGAAGATTCTCTCTCTCTCTCTCTCTCTCTCTCTCTCTCTCTCTCTCTCTCCTCTCTGTAACTCTGCCTTTCAAATAAATAAATAAAAAATCATAAACCAGCTTCCTGCTAACGCACACCCTACGGAGGCAGCAGCTGATGGCTGAAGTCCCTGGAGCCCTGACACCCATGGGAGACCTGGATGGAGCTCCTAGCTCCTGCTTTGGGCTTGGCCCAGCCCGGGCTGTTGTGCACATTTTGGGGGGTGGGGAGTGAACCAGCAGGGAGATCTTTCAAAGAAAATGGAAGTAAATTTTAAAACAGGCAGATACTCGAATCTCTTTCATATCCACTGTAGTTCCAGTTGGCACCCAAGACATATTGTGTCCTGTACTCCTCCCTGGAAGGAGAGAAGGAACCCACAAGGGAACAGGAGGAGCAGGAGCAGAGCCTGGCACCCAGAGGCAGAAGGCTTCGCCCGGGGGGAGGGGGAAGCCCGGTGGGCTGCATGGCGGAGGCCAGGCTCTGGCCCCGTGGACAGCAGGAGTCACGTAAGGTTACGAAGCAGAGGAGGGATCTATTAGGGTTGGCAGTGGGAAGACAAATCTGACAGCTGAAAGAACAGATTGGTGGTGATGGAGCAGTAGCCAGGAAGGCGCCGTAAGAGCGGGCTGGCGTGATGAGGGTTGGAACTAGGACAGAAGCGGTGGGAGGTACAAGGAGGCCCCGGCGGTGTATATATATAGCCGCCGCTGACTGCCACACTCCGGGGACCTTGCCCGCTCACACTGCTCCGCCCGGCAGCCCAGTGGTAGGCAGGTGCAGTCCCATCAAACAGAGGGGGAGATGCAAACCCGTGGGAGCCAGCGACGCATGGAGGTCCACACCACTGCGGGTATCGAACCCAGAACCCAGGGACCTCCAGGAATCCAGTGCTCCACATCTAAGGCTCCACGCCTAAGCTACATGGGGTTACGAGGGAAAAAGTTCCTGGCT